ACTGATTTAGTAACAATTATTTAGTTATTTACCATTTAAGCACTTCGGGCAGAAATTATTTTTATTTACTTGTCAAAAATGTATAATGAATTTTATATTCTTCCATAAGAGCAGTGTACTCAAATGAAATAGCGCTACGCTACTTGTTCCACCAAAATCAAGCGCTCTTTAAAAATTCAATAACTCGACAACCGTTAAAGATAGCGACCTCAGATTTTTTTCAAAAACTTCTGCAAACATTAGGCTACCATTCACTGCATATATGGTGACTTTTTTAATATTTCACGTACCTACCTTCCCTTCCCGCATCTTGAAGTTTTAGATGCAAGAATTTGTTATTTCTAACTTCACGCTCAATTTGTGAAAAATTTGTTGACTTTTTTAAAATTCCAAATACACCATAAGAACCGCTCAAGTTTATACTACAATTGTCTAAAAAATCGAATCGATAACTTATTTCATTCCGTAAATAATGCTCTGCTGCATGTTTGGAAACGCACGAATTTTCGAATTACACCTCGGCCATTCTTATGGGCCATTTTAAAAGTTCGGTCCTACTAAAAAAGTTGTAATCTCCCACTTCTTATAGCTAAAAACATACTCTACAAGATGGTATAAGTTTCATCTGGTTATACTTCAGGGTCACTCAAATTAATATTTCGACACTGATTTTACTCCATTATAGGTTCAGTGGGGGCGCACATAGGCAACGGGATAACAACTCGAAAAGCCATACCTACTTTAAATAATAGCACGGGCCCTGAGAGCCTTAAAATCGCAATTTAATAATTGCACCCAAATATATTCTATAAAGATATATTTCCGACATAAAACACGTTCACAATTTTATGACTTGTCTTCACTGCTTCCTTGCAATTTATGTTTACGACAAATATCGTCTGAAATTTCAATAGGCACAAGTCCTGGCATAATTAAGTGCTGATAAACAGGAATCTAAAAATTAAAAGGAATATATTTTGAAAACACCAATACAAATAACATTTTTAACAAATCATCCTGAAAATATGATATATATTTAACTGAAGCGATTTACTTACATAAGGGAATGACATATCAAATATCACGTCCTTCGGATTTACTGTTCTCTCTGGAAGTGTGTAATAATTCCCTAAAAGCGGGTCTTCGAGCGGCTTTCCATAAATCTTCGTTTGATCGACTTGTACCAAACTATTCTCAGCTCGTTTTTGTAATTGTTTTATAGTAAGTTTTTTCTCGAAAGAACCACCAGAAAGTACCTGATGAAATAAATTTTAATGAACTTTGCTTTTTTGTGAACAAGTACACTTAATATAAAAGTATTATATTCAGAAATAAGTACCCTTCGTAAAAAATTAAGGGAGATATAAAAGTGCATAGTTTTCATTAGACAAATCGCTAAATTTCGAAATAAAAGAAAAAAATTGTTTAAACAAAAGTAACAAAAATTTTGAAGCCATCCCTGATACGATTTTTGACGGTCTAAACACTCGAGCAGAGTTTAGCAACAAGTATACCTTTATCTAAAAGTAAATCCCAAATGATTATTAGGTCATCGGCGTAGAAGTTGGGGTAAGAAAATCACACTTTACTACCCATTCCGACGCCACTGACCTATTCAAATTTGTAAATTTTACAGTAAATTATGTACATGTGTAAATGTTAACACCACACCAAATTTAAATCAATTTGTTATAAGCATACCAAAGATTTCGTAAATAATATGATTTTATCAACCGACCAATACGGCCCTGTACAATGAAAATGGTGGGACTTAGGCCCATGGTTTATAAGGCAATTCTGAATTATTTATTGCGTTCTATTTGTACTTAAAGTTTGATTCACTCGAACTGAAACACCCTGTATATTAAGGACATTAAGGTCCATCTTACACTTGTAACAAAATGAGACTTTTGGAATAAAAACTTTTTTCTACAAAACTGTTAAAAGTGGGCTTTTTAATTGTCATTTTTGATGTTAAAAATGTCATTTAACACTAGTGTTAAAAGTAAATCAAAGTTTATTTAAATCATAAACACTGCGATCTGTGTGGTATTTTTTGATTTCTTATTTTTATTGAGTTTAAAGTTCTTCCGATTGTTTTGTAGAAAAAATAGTGTATGATATACGTGTTAAAAGTGATTTTATTTTGTTCGTGAAGTTAAAAAACTCGCTACGCTCGTTTTTTAATCATCTTCACTCACAAAATAAAATCTTACTTTTAACATGCACGTATATCATAAATAACTATTTTCTACAAAACTGTTAAAAGTGGGCTTTTCAATGTCATTTTTGATGTTAAAAATGTCATTTTTTGACACGCATGTTAAAAGTAAGTTACTTTTAACACTAGTGTTAAAAGTAAATCAAAATTTATTTAAATCATAAACACTACGATCTGTGTGGTATTTTTTGATTTCTTATTTTTATTGAGTTTAAAGTTCTTCCGATTGTTTTGTAGAAAAAATAGTGTATGATATACGTGTTAAAAGTGATTTTATTTTGTTCGTGAAGTTAAAAAACTCGCTACGCTCGTTTTTTAATCATCTTCACTCACAAAATAAAATCTTACTTTTAACACGTATATCATAAATAGCTATTAATTAGTTTTTCTTTTTCGAAAATAGGACTCTTCAAACCATAGTTTTTACGAAACGTACTTATTTCTGAAATACTCTGTATAGTATATTTATATGTTACCCTCAAGGTGGTAGAACTAGCGACTTTCTTTATATCTGGAGGAATACTAAATTGAAAAGTGGGTGGAACTGGTTGCCCTTGTCGAATATTCTTCCAAGGCTTGAACGTACCAATGGTCTGTAAATATCGACCTCCCAACGTCCACATTCTTACGCTAAAATCTGCACTGCAACTAAAAATAAGAAAATTTTCTCAGATGATAAAAACATAAGTACATTTTGTGGAGCAAAAATTAATCAAATTTTAGTGGTAGGTACAATTTCGGACAAAATATTTCTCAACTAAAAAAACGAAAATAAAACGAACTGAAAATGTAAAACGATGTTTTAAAAATTCAGTTATTATGCAAATCAGATTCACACGTTAGCAGAACAATTTCAGTCTCTTCCAAATCAAGTTCACTTTGTTGGGACTGTATAAATGTGTATCACAGATCACATTCACAGACCTTAAGACTTAAGAGGTACCACCACCACCACCAGAGGTAGCATCCACAGACCTTAAAGGGTGCCCATCAAACTCATAAGAACAATGAGGATTGTTATTTCCTATGTGGAATACTGTACAATTCGCGGTGTTAAAAGATAGAAACCAGGTACTATATACCAGCGTTCGATATCATTAAGGTTACTCTTATTACAGTCAATTGTTCTAGGGGGTTGCCATACATTTTGGTATCATCAGCATAAAAATAATAATAATAATACATTTATTGCAAAAAAGAAGTATAAACAACATTTTTACAAAAGGAAGGTGTATCAACAAAGTTGATTTACAACACCTCCTGTGTCAAAGAGAACAGATTAAAAACAAACAAATACAATAAATAAGCAATAAAAAAGGACAAGAATGAATACAAAACACAATTGGATATAGTTAAAACCTACATACATCAAAAAGTACCAAGTCAGAAAAAAGTATATTATTTTTTAACATACGTTTAACGGTTGTCACTGACAAATTGTGATGCTGCAGGGGTAAATTATTAATAACATAAGAAGCTAAATACGAAAATGAATTTGAAATAATGATATCATGAAGATCAGTTGAGTAAAGGAGCACTGAGACCAAAACGGACCCTGGAGACATATCCGAGTAGACGTCATGGAGAGAAGAATAATCAGCACCTACACGAACTGAAAAAATACCGATAAATGTTATCAGTCCAAGTAAGTAGTTGACCACGAATTCCAAGATGATCTAGTTTTTTCTATCAAAGGCGTTCACGACGTACGTCTAAATAGATTACATTAACATTGTAAGGTAAAATTAGAAATAATGACAAAAAATCATCAAAATTTGATTAAAAAATTTGAAATGTCAAAGTGTTAATATATAATAACTTTTTAAGATGCACTGCATTTCGCATTTTGGAACTGTTGATAATGTATTCGTTTAAATTACTAATCAGAATATTCAGATTCAGATATTAATTCAATTAATCCAATCCACTGAAGTGTGTTGAGGCATCATAGTGCATCGATCATATCTGGTCATAGAGAATAGAAGTACATCCTCGAGCAAAATAAGCAGCTCAGCTTCTTAAAAATTGCCACAGAAACATCCATCTAGTCTAACGAGAAGAAATATTGGTCTTATGAGATTATCGTCTATGATAGCCAACCATATAACTACTAAAATCTGCTGTTTCAGTAATGACATAAGAATTTAGGAAGGAGGAATATAATAAGAAACATTCAGGTTTGAGGCAATTTTCATAACGCTTGTTTTAGGTTCCTCTGCAATTTCGTTTAAAATAGCTTCTTCAATTTCTGGTGTTCTTTTCAAAATTTTAACAGAAAACCATCTTCAGAGTACAATATTGAACAACCTATGCATTGAAAACTAAACCTTTTTGGACCACATGTCTATATGAAGTTTTCTCCACAAATCTACTTTGTGTTTTGGTACACTCTATATATTTTTGTAAAACATGAAATCCGTGTTTTAATCCCAACATATTTTTGATTTGTAAAATAGTTAATTTCATAAAGTTTGAAGTGTTTATTGTCTGCAGCTGTTAGTAGGTTATTTAATATTTTAATTCATTCATTAATATTGATAAATACAGAAACCAAAAAAAAAATTAAATCAGAATTCTAAAGACGAATACAGCGATATAAGGTTATACTTACTTTTTTTGTCAAAAAATAGGGGAATTAAATGAAAACAATAATTTAGTACCACTTTTTATTTTATTACAGTAAATATTCAAAGTGGCCCCCATTAACCATTGCCTATACCCAATTCGGTGTTCAAAATTATCAATTAGATTTTGAATAACATTTGGTGTTATGTTTTGAGATTCTTCCCTGATACGATTCTTCAATCCTTCGATAGTGTCTGGTCTGTTCACATACACTTTGTTTTTTAGATAACCCCCCCAAAAAAAATCTAGTGGGGTTAAGTCAGGGAAGCGTTGTTGCCATTCAAGTGGCCCTCATCTGCCTACCCATCGATTTGGGAAAACTCCATTAAGCTAATTTCTTACATTGGGGCATAAATGTGGAGGGGCACCATCATGTTGGGACCACACATCACCAGCAGACATATCGGAATCAGCTGAAAACGCAAAAAATCCAAATGAAATTGTCAAATTGCCCTCAAAAGAATAAGGTCCCAGTAACGGTTCCAGCCGTTGTGTATGTTTTTCTTGCATCCAATGTGGATTTTCTGGTTCGGATTCGTTTAAGCAAAAACTTGCTTCGTCAGTGAAAATTATGTGATTTTTTAAATTAGGTTGTCTTTCAAATAAATTTCTAATTTCTTCGCAAAACTGTAATCTTCTGTATGTGTCATCTGCCCATAGTTCTTATAAGACGTTAACTTTGTAAGGATATGTCACTTTTGAGACTTCAGACTTCTGTAAACTGACCACTATGACAAGTTGAAGTTGGCTGAGGTAGATCTAATGGATGAGTGAGGATTTCCAGTAACGGGAAGCATCACATTTTGACGGTCATTTTCGCTTACGGTTCTTCCTGATCCAGGTAAATCTTTTATACTTCCGGTTTCTTCAAACTTTATGGATACTTATTAGCTCGATTAATTCTCTGATCTGGATACTTATGGTGAAATAAGTCACATTTCTCCTGCTAAATACGGATTTTATCTCCGCATCCAATCATAATAAAAATTTCAAGTATCTGTTTTTCGCTGAAACGGGCAACCATTTTTCAAAATAATTTAACAACGAATAGAATGAATTGGAACTAAAACGATTCACGTTATACCTAAGGTACTCTGGTGAAATTTATGTATATTTGTATTTGTAATGTTAATTTCAGATCAAATTCACTAATGAAAAAAAATAATAATTTTAGAAACGTCAAACTGGAAACATCAATTTTGAATTTCGTCCGCACGCTTTATATGATTGTTTTTGAATAAAGAACATTAAAGAAGAATTAGTGGAAAATTATTTAGTTATCTCCACGAGCAATGTATTTATCGATGTGTTTTCTTAATTGTTTAAAGTAAGTAGAAAAAGATTAACAAAGAGTAGGTACGTTTTTTAAAGTACAGAAGAGACTATGATTGTTTGAAATAGTCGTCAGTACGACATAAAAGACAATTTTTTACATTTTTTTTTATAACTATGACAAAAAAGTAGGAATANAAAAAAATGTCGGTAATGTTATAGTTCTGACAAACAAAGCTCAAAAAAATGGAAAATATTGCAGAAAAGTTACAGTTTTTATTTACTAATTGACCTGTTTCAGCGATTTTTTAAAATATGAAATGGAAAAAAAATATGAATTTTTTTCCATTATTTTGGGACACAGTGTATTTTACTTTAGGTGTAACGGAAAAATAGACAGTTACAACAAATACCTTAAAAGAATTTGGCACTCATCGATATAAGTCAGTCCTGAAACAGGCATGAAATGTCCCTTGAAGCTGTTAAGTAAGACGGGTTTTGCCTGGTCTGCCGCCATTCTTGCTGCCCTTCCCATGAACGTATTTCCCCACATGAAGGGAAACATCAACCTATACTTTGGCATGCATGTACGCTCTTCATCTGCGGGTGATACACAATAGTTTTTCAATAGCCAAGTTTTAATGTAGCCGACTGTAGTTCCTAGGAATCAACATAGAAGTTAGCCAAAGTACAGTTTTGCTGTCGCCTCAGAAATTGAAATGTAACAAAAACATAATAGTCCAATCAATAGGTAGAAGAGCTTACAAAAAATACCACCTGGAAACAAAAAATATGGTAAAATAGTATTTTTCATGTGGCGCATAAACAGCGAAGTTAACCTAAAAAATTCATAAAAGTAAAAAAAACGATTTTTCGCTAATAAAAAAAACTCCAATCGAAAAACGTTAAATGAGAAAGTTGTAGCTATTAAAAAAACCCATCGATCCGTATTTTTAAACACATCGTTTGCTATATTACTTTTCGAGGTATGTATATCGAAAAAACCGTCAAAAATCAACTTTTTTTTGTTTTTGCTGTATCTCTTGCAAATTAAAATTTTGAAGCTTGTTACTCGCTGTAAATGTAGCCCTCGACAAGCAAAAAAAGTACCTTTTTAAAATTAAAAAATATTAAAAATTTTTTGAGTTATAACGATTTTTCGAAAAAAAGGTCATCTCGAAGACCAGCTCTTCTTGCTCGTCGTAGAGAAATGAATCACGGGTCATTTTTTTTCTTACGAGTTGTACTTTCATGGTAAAAAAGAGTGATAACGATTTTATTCATTTCAAGTGTCCAAAGATGATTTTAAAAACAGTGAACATTTTTTGGACGCGTTTTTTTTAATATCTTTTTCATTTCTCGATAATGTCTATTACTGGAATCGATTTTTACACGAATTTAGAAAAAAAACGTTGCTCTGCGGCCTTCTGGACCCGAGATAATTTTTTTCAAAAAATTCCAAATGTAACATTTTTTTTTAAATTCGCGTAAAAATGCCAGCAATCGATTTCTGTAATTGACATTATCCAGAAATGAAAATCAAGAAAGATATTCAAGAAAACCGCGACCAAAAAATTTTTACTTTTTTCAAAATCATCTTTGGACACTTGAAATGAATAAAATCGCTATCACTCTTTTTTACCATGAAAGTACAACTCAAGGAAAAAAATGAGCCCTGATTCGTCGAGCAAGAACAGTCGATTTCCGAGATGACCTTTTTTTCGACAAATCGATATAACTCGAAAAATTTTTAACAATTTTTAATTTTTAAAAAAAGGTACTGTTTTGCTTGCCGAGAGCTACATTTACATCAAGTAACAAGTTTCAAAACCTTAATTTGCAAGAGATACAGCAAAAACAAAAAAAAGTCGATTTTTGACGGTTTTTTCGATATATCTCGAAAAGTAATATAGCAATCGATATATTTAAAAATACGAATCGATAGGTTTTTTTTAATAGCTACAACTTTTCCATTTAACTTTTTTCGATCGGAGTTCAAGTTTTTTTTTTTATTAGCGAAAACCCGTTTTTTGACTTTTATGAATTTTTTAGGTTAACTTCGCCGTTTATGTGCCACAGAAAAAATATTTTTTATTTCTAGGAGGTATTTTTTTTTTAATTTAACATAAGACCGTGACAGATTGATTGGACTTAAACCGATATTCCTGTTAACTATTTCAAGGTCACAAATATTATTTAATACCAGTAAAAAGAAACTCGTTGTTTTCGTCTGTAGTCATCGAAATGACATAGTCGCCCGCCTTATGAATGGCAGAAAACGATGTTATGAAAGATCCTTGCACGTGATGATTCCAAACTTGTACCACTCCATTTTCCAGAGCTACCAGAAGGGTGCCGACCTCCGGATCACTTTTTCGGGCATTAAGGAAAATCATACAGTGCACCGACAATTTTCTTAAATGGAAGCATTCGTCTGGTACCGCTACAGTAGACACTTTTCGTCTTTTGTCTTGTCGACGAACTGAAAATGTTTCATGTTAAATGACAAATGACTAACTTTTGGAGTAATTTCATGTTATCTAACATAAAAAATGAAACAGAAATAAACACAGGCTTATTCAGAAAATAACCGAACATTATTTTTCTAAACTAAAAAAAAAATTAATTATATATATTATTGGTCCTCGTCTCTTTCGAAGTACTCCCCTCTTCTATTCACACACTTTTCCCCACAGTGTTTCTATTTCGTGAAGCAGTCTTGCATAGCTTCATTTGAAATGGCCTTTAAAGTCTGTGACGAATTTACTTAGATGTCAACAATAGTCTGAAAGCGACGTCCATTCAGTCCTTTCAGCACTGATTTTAATTTCGGAAATAAGAAAAAATCACAAGGAGCTAGGTCTGGCGAGTAAGGAGGGTGAGGGACACAAAACTGACGAACTGACAAAGCTAAGTATGCAAGCGCATTGTCATGATGCAACTCTGATCTCTTTTTGCGGATATTTTCACGTAATCATTGTAAAACGCCTTGATAGTAGATACGGTTCACAGTATTACCTTGAGGCAAGATTTGAAAATGCAAAATTCCATTAAAACAGTAAGCATCACTTTGACATTGGATCGAGATTGACGTACTTTCTTGGTGGCTGGAGGTCCTTAGCCAATCCATTGTGACGATTGAACTTTAGTCTCAATGTTGTAGCCGTAAATCCAGCTTTCGTCTCCCGTTATGATCTTTTGAATGAATGTTTCATCGTCATTGGATTGTTCAACTAGTTGCCAATAAAAGTCCACACGATTTTCTGTGTTGTTCGGTCATCAAACGAGGAAAAAATTATGCTGCAACTCGATGCGTGTTCAGTTTTTCAGTCAAAATGTCATGGCATAACCCTATTGAGATGCTAACCTCTTCAGCAATGTCTCTGGCGACTTACATGCATCAAATCTTTGATTTTCTAAACATGGTCAAGTCATCAGTTGAAGTCGAATGTCTTCCTGGTCGAGGATCATCTTCAATTGACTGACGACCACTTTTTCCGTGAATGTTTTTCCCAGTTTCACGAAAAATTTTACGTTGCATCGTTGTTCCAAAAAACAGCACATTTCAAAAATCGTCACTAACATTTAAACGCGTTACACTCAAATAATATCACGAAAACCAAAAGAGATATCATTAATTCAAGAACATGTGGTTAAGAGGAGATTATGCACAACGTCCTGCTGCCAATAGCATATCACTAAATTAACGCGTATTTCGGAAAGTTCCGTTATTTTCTGAACATACTTACATCGTATATGCTTTTCGTAATTTTAGTATTTCCAAATGCTTTACAGAAGCAATTAGGTAGCACTTCTTTTGATGTTAATAAATTTTAAGGAGGCAATGAAGAACTAATTAACAATATCATTCAAACATATTATAAGTAGAAGATGAATATAGAAATGAAAACATCACAACGAAAATCACCGATTTTTTTCTATTATTTTTTACATATACGCACACACTTGGTGAGAAAACCTCTTGCTATCCTTAAAAATAGTACTGGACGATACCATCGATTTCCTCTTATGGTGAATGTACTCTTCTTTAACAGGTTTCTCCGTCNGTTTTTTTTTTGGTACATTTTTGCAGATTATTATTTTTAGTAATTTTTTTGTTCCGTTTTGACCGTTTTTATTGTAATAGATAATATTCCCATTTTTTTCTATTAAAATTAAGTATTTTTGAACCTTTATTTTGGTAATTTTTTATTTTTTTTGTAATATAATATAAAATGTTTTGTCATCTGATTTTTTAATGTTCTAAATTGATATTTTCTTTTCTTTCTTTCTTTTAATAACGTACTATTCAGTTTTGATTTTTTGAGTTTTTTTTAGTACATTTTTGCAGATTATTATTTTTAATTATTTTTTGTTCCGTTTTGACCGTTTTTATTGTAATAGATTATTTTCCCATTTTTTTTCTCTTAAAATTGAGTATATTAAGTATTTTTGAACCTTTATTTTGGTAAATTTTTGTTTTTTTTTTGTAATATAATATAAAATGTTTTGTCATCTGATTTTTTTAATGTTTTAAATTGATATTTTCTTTCTTTCTTTTAATAACGTAACTATTCAGTTTTGATTTTTCGAATTTTTTTTAGTACATTTTTGCGGATTATTATTTTTAGTTATTTTTTGTTCCGTTTTGACCGTTTTTATTGTTATAGAAAATATTCCCATTTTTTTTTCTCCTAAAATTGAGTATATTAAGTATTTTTGAACCTTTATTTTGGTAAATTTTTGTTTTTTTTATTTTCTCTAATTTTTCTTAATATAAAATATTTTATCGTGTTCTGATCAGTTTTGAAACTTTGTTTTTTTTGTGATAGATTTTTTTCTTATATTTTTTTCTCATATTTTTGTAATATAAAATATTTGTTGTCATCTGATTTTTTTAATGTTCTAAATTGATATTTTCTTTTCTTTCTTTTAATAACGTACTATTCAGTTTTGATTTTTTGAGTTTTTTTTTAGTACATTTTTGCAGATTATTATTTTTAGTAATTTTTTTGTTACGTTTTGACCGTTTTTATTGTAATAGATAATATTCCCATTTTTTTCTCCTAAAATTGAGTATATTAAGTATTTTTGAACCTTTATTTTGGTAAATTTCTGTTTTTTTTTTGTAATATAATATAAAATGTTTTGTCGTCATCTGATTTTTTTACTGTTCTAAATTGATATTTTATTTTCTTTCTTTCTTTTAATAACGTACTATTCAGTTTTGATTTTTTGTTTTTTTTTGGTACATTTTTGCAGATTATTATTTTTAGTAATTCTTTTGCTCCGTTTTGACCGTTTTGATTGTAATAGATAATATTCTCATTTTTTTCTCTTAAAATTAAGTATTTTTGAACCTTTATTTTGGTAAATTATTGTTTTTTTGTTTTCTGTCTCATTTTTCTTAATATAAATATTTTATCGTGTTCTGATCAGTTTTGAAACTTTGTTTTTTTTTGTGATAGAATTTTCTCTTATATTTTTTTCTCATATTTTTGTAATATAAAATATTTTTTGTCATCTGATTTTTTTAATGTTCTAAATTGATATTTTCTTTTCTTTCTTTCTTTTAATAACGTAACTATTCAGTTTTGATTTTTTGAGTTTTTTTAGTAC